AAAGAAAATGATGGAGTATATTACAAAGAAGGAGGAATCCTCAGAATGTCGTGCAAATTAAAAAAAGACAGCAGGTAGCAGTTGGTTGGCACAAAGCAAGAATGCTCTTAATAATGACTTATAACACTCGTGCGACGTCGCTTATAGCTTTGGCCAATATTGGTTACGTCGGAATAATTATATTACCAGAGAAACGAGCTCTCGCTATCAAGGCGCACTAAAACTCTAACCACGGCAAAAACCAAGTTTGTCTTGTAGTTATTTTTAATCGGAACACTTGTATGGAAATTACATTGATTTTGTTATTAGAAAAATTACAGTAAACACCAAATCAACGCTTCTATTCAAAGTACAAAATCCAACGTCCACAATCTGGAACACATGGAGTTCATCCCCTACATTGGTGTGAATAAATCATTGCTCGTATCCTTGAATTTTGATCAAAAAGTGTATATCTTATTTATAAAAATCTCCCGTAATACACAGAAATTAGTCAAATCCATAATGTGGTCTTCCGTACCTGCACTTTTGATCGGTTGCCTCTAATTATTGCTCATCTATTACGCAGTGGCGAAAAGCTGCCTTAAATCCCAATCGTCCCAAAGCTCATTGCTCCAGGGCACTGCATGAAAACGCCAATGCCAGCGTTTGGGTCAAGCTCCGGGAGGTCAGCGAGCTTGCACGTGCGTGTTTTAGCAATAACTTGCTCGTGCCTTTGAACTATTCCAAAAACCATTTAATGCCCTCGCAACAATGCACGTAGCCGGGATTGGTTGTTTGGCTCACATATTCTGTGATTCTAACGTTATTTTTCAGTTGTTGCCACGGTCCAAGCTTGTGCTCGTATGCATATAAACGTACTTCAAAGAAGGGTGGTTTTTCCTAATTGCACGATGAAACACATTTTGCGCATTTCTCATCTAATATTACAAATCTTCTGTACGTGCATGTAAGGGAGCGTACACATCTTTTGTTTGCTCATTTATTCGTGTGCTTGTGAATTTCAAATAAGTGTGTTCCATACTATGATTTATTCAAGAAATATTTACCCTGAAAATCATATTGTGTCAATATACTTCAGTTTTACCATGTCGATATTTATTACTCATTGTCATTTCATTTTTTAATGAGGAAAACAAATGAAAAAATTCATGAGAAAATATTGAACGTGGCATTTACAACTATGAAGTCCAAAGAAAAACAATCGTGAAAGAATGAATAAATAATGGACAATCGTACATTACAGAATATCATTGATGAACTCCCTATAGTCGTAAGGACACGTTCACGGCAGTACTTTTTCTTTCCCTCCTGGCTGGATATTAGCTCAGAGTTGCTGAAAAAACTGGCTTGGACTTATGAATTTCAGAGTCGAACTTTTCACTTATACTCGCACACGGGCACGCACGGGCGAGGGATGTATAAAAAGAGTACATTTTCTCACCACGAGAACGCGAGGGGTAGACGGTATTAAAATTCCAACGGAATTCCAGGCGGACAGGAAACGTTGAAAGTTTGAGCTAATCGTCGTAGTCGTAGGTATACGCAGGCAGTATGTATGTATACATACACCTCGACACTGACCTCCCTGCATACGAGGGTGAATTCGAGCGAGTGTATTAGCTATTTGATCGCTCTGGCTGTCTGCTACTGAAATCACTCAATCTTTGAAAGCACCGAAATCAGTGTTGTAGGTGCAGCATGTCTGAATTACCAATAAATACATCGAGGGCTCAGAGTTACTTTTGGTGACCTACCACTGAGCTTTGAACTATTTTATTTACTTTATAAGAAACTTGCGTAAAATTTTGATATCGATCTGATTTCTTTCAACTTCAATAAATTGAAAGTATCTAAAAAGGTACGAAATTTTCAGCAAAACTAATATAAGCGTCGAGAAATATGTGTAAAAAATTTGAGACCGATTTACCACGCCGTTATTGAAATATTCTCGTCAAAAAATCACTCTTTTAACATTAGAGCAATGGTGTAAACATTACATAGCCCCATTGTTTTAAAAAGTATAACTTACCCCATATTTATAAATAATTAAAAAACTACTGAAAACTACCTTAGACAGTAAAGAAACATATATTTTTTTGAGAATTTTTTACCGCACAGTTTTAAAGCAATAGTAATCAAAGATGTGCTCTCCGTTTGATTTTAAAAGATAACCAAGTAAGTATCGCGTATGTGGCAACGGCATATTGTCATATGAGTACAAGTAGATATATGTATATGTTTATGTGCGTATAAGTGTATGCAAAGGCATTCACATTTCTCTCTGATATTACGAATACGGGATGTATGAACATAACATTAGTACTGTATATCTATGTATACGATTGACTTATATATTGGGAAACAACTACCTTAATGCTATTTGCGTATGTTGCCGTCTGTCAAGTGTTATCAATTTCTCAAAAATCCAGTCAAAGTCCATTTGATTTATTGGAAATTTAATTAATTTCTAATGTTACAGGTGCTCGGGCTACGCTTGATACGGCTATCCCTTGTAAAATAACCATTTTGGAAAAAAAGAGTGTGATCCAAGTTGTAACCAGTTATAATCAATAGTTTATTCACTTTTCACTGTTCCCCAGACAGTATTTATCCATTTAAACCTCCATGTAAACTAAATTATTGGGGCTAGCGATTTGCCACTTGTGTTTTTCCATTTCTTTCCTGAAGAAATCGATGTATTTAAACCGATGAAATCATCAATAGTCATGTAGATCAATATCAATGTTTCAAGACAACTCTTGGTGCTTTCATTCGTAAAACTAATATGAGCAAGAAACCTAGTATGGGCGAAATTCTTATTTATAATGGAAGTATTATTTTAATCCGAGTAACCTCGATGTGTTCCAAAATCCATTTTCTGATCCACAGTTACAAACGATTCCCGTCCAAACATTACATTACCATCTCGTTCTAGTAACTGAGTAAAAGTGCGCTTTGCAAAAGTTTTATTCAAGCGTAAAACCAAAAATTCAGCTTTTCTCCTGTTCTTCGACCCATTATGTTCCCTCCGATAGTTCGGATGACGAAAAGGAAAAAATCACCATTCAAGCGTCGATTTGCAATTATACGGCTGAGCTATCCCCGACTGGCGTTCACGTGCAAATCAAAACGCCCCGAGCCGTCGGTACACGTGATAAATTTAAAAGTCCCCGTCGTCAGTATGTCACCACTCTGCACCTGCAAAAGTGTCTCGCGCGCACAAAGCGAGCAATTGCCGAGGCGGGCTCTACTTCGCTCGGAATTACCCAAGAGAGCGTACCTGTACCTCCACATGGTGTTTAACTTATCCGGCTGAATTAACTTTCGCCCCCCACACCCCTTCCCCCATTGTTTCCCACAATTCAGCGCCTGAATTGTCGCCCGCCAACGGTTACCTACCTTCGTCATCGCCCGTTTTGTCCTGCGGTGAATTTTCAACAAAGCCCCGCTGGGTATATTGGGTACACTTCTTCTTTTTCCCTTTGACTTCTTAGTAGGTGTGTATGTACTTTGCCACTATTATAGCCGAGTAACGTCACGAAATTCCGTTCAAATGCAACGAGTAGCTGTACATCGTTGACAGACTGGGTGCTGGCTAACGAAGCGTAAGATCGAATCGCAGCTCGGGATAACGAGATCAGCCCTGTGGATGTCATCCTGACGAAGTATTAGTATTGGCTTCTGTCTGTCTTACTCCAGAGGGTTGACTCCTATGGTCTGAGTTTGGAAGAAATCTCGATCGACCCACCGAGCCGGCTCCATAGTATTGGGCTTCGTTATCTTCGATAAGGTTGCTACGAATCCACAAGGGGGTACAAACGATATGGCCATCTAAAAAGTCAAATTCTCCCATATTGTATACCCTGTTGATTTCCTCCACCTCAGCTGCTCCAAGAATCGGGAAGTCCAGGTTTACTTGTTCTTTCGGTGGAGCAAGTTGATCGAAAAAAGATCGGTTGCTTCGACACCTCACGCGCGCGCGCCATTCTCGAGATTTCTATTGATTCTCCTCCCCCAGATGGCAAGAGGATCCTGCAAAAAAGAGGAGAAATCGTCTCGGATGGGTCCTAAGTCAATGCCGGCACGTCGTCGTAGTCGTTCTCGCAATAAGAACTCCGTCACCCGATATCTTTCCTTTCGTCTCTCCCTCCCTCGAGTCGTGCTTCATTCTCGGCTGTTTTGCATTTTAAGAAGGTGTCGGGTCCCCCTTTGCTTCATCCGAGACGGGTGCTCTGCCCTCCTCTCTTTTTTTCTCTTCTGCTGCCGTGCACGCCCATCGTCCTCGGGACTGTGAAAACGAAAAGGCAGATTTGGTATACGAACAACGACAAGCCACTTTATTTTGTCCTCCCGAATTTACATGAATCTCGAAATCTCGAGGTTTCGGAAAAATAATAATACCATCCCGATATCCCTGGGAATTAACTACTCTGCCATATAACGGATTTGAGAAAGAGATATGGGTACTTTTTCCAAATAGCAAATACGAGTTACGCCGTGGATCGTTTGTTTCGTCTTATCCAAACAAGAATCGCGAGTGGCTAAGTTCTCTTCTTTTTCTTTTCCTCGGCATATTCATATAATATATCATCCTGCGTAAGTCAATACAAGTTGGGCCACGCATAGTTGTGTTGTTACGATTTTATGGCTCGTCTAGCTGGGAATTACCTACTTCATAAATTGTGTCTTTATCCGATGAAACGGACACAAAAATGTTTTTAACATCATTTACAGGAGTCATATAGTACATCATTTGTACTTCCACGATATCTTTATAGTAAGGAGAACAATGACCAAAAAGGGTTGGCAATTCATAAAGACATTTATTGTCCTTCAGCGTATTATACGTAGGTACCGTCGATAGTGACATTCATGAGTCCATTAATTACTCCCTCAACCTTTCCCCCACTCGCGCAAAAGCTTGCACGTCGGCCCCGTCCCTGCAATAGCCCCTATACATATATATCGGCTAATCCTCGATGCATTCGTGGTTTCAGTTCCCCCGATGCTGTGGATACCGCATCAGCTGGTCGGCGTACCGCTGGGCTATACCATCACCCTCGAGTGTCACACGGAGGCTCATCCGACGTCCTTAAATTACTGGACGAAGGACGACGGTGTGATGATCCACCAGAGCGACCAATACAGGGTCATGTCGACGCCCGAGAAGCCGTCGTACAAGACAAACATGACGTTAACGATCGTCAATGTCCAGGTGAGCCCCGTTGCTCTTGTTATTTAATAAGTTTTTTTTTTTTTGTTTTTTTTTTCACATTTGAGTAGAGAAACAAAGAGTATCCTCTTAAACTGAATCAGTTACTATTTTACCGAGGCCAACAGTTGATAAAATCAATTACTGATAAATTTTCTAATAGTACATAAGCAGATTTTGCAGTAAAAATGACTTTCTGGGCTTTTATTATGTTTTGTAACAGCTTATCGTAATGAGATTGATTATCATAGCTTACTCTAAGTGAAATTTCACTGATTCACAAGTTAATATTCACTAATTAAAATGCATGGTTAAATTTAAGTTACTATAAATCAATAAAATGCCGGTCACTCAAAATCAGCGATGGAATAAAAATTCTGCATCAGATGTGATTTACCGAAAAATGAGTGAATATTCGCTAAAAAGTAAAAAAAAAATTTTAATTACCGCTAGTCTCAATTTTTTATCAACTCACCACACAAGCGTATCGTACCGATGCAAATATCCCGTGTATATTGTCGACCATCGATTTACTTTTCCGGCAAGTGCGCACCGAGAAAATCGGGTTTCAATGTAAACAGCACGACTCGAGCATCCATTACCGATCAAGACCGCATGCCAAAATAAAAAAATAAAAAAAAATCGGGTCGAAACAATGGATGTTGAAAGTCCTCTCGTGCGTCTTACAGTCCCCCGCTGCTCGAACACGGCGAAAAATTACGAAACGGTGGCAGCAGGAATGCTTTTACTCGTAATAGCTTCGCGGGCCGGTAGCTTTCCGCAGCGACACGAGAAAAATATATTCACGTTCGGGGGGGTGGACGCGAAGCGGGCAACTTTAAACCCGCGAGGGAAAAAAGGGTCAACAGCCGGGGCACAAAGGCGAAATAAATGTAGCGCGCCGAAACGATCGCAATTCGCGAAAACTTGTCCGGCGACTCTGCCGCGCATCCCCGAGAACTCGCGGGCGCTTAACGACCAGCCGTAAAGCCACCGCGCCGCGTATACACACACGTTGCTATCGATTTCCCCGAAGCCCGGCTTTTTTTTACCCCACGTACATCCTCTGTTTTTTTTTTGCTCGTCCCCGGTGGAGTGGTGGTAAAGCCCTCAAACGACAGTTCACCGATACACATGCACCCCCGATTTCGAATGCCGCGAGTTTAATTGGGCACCTCTGCTTTTTTGTCCTCTCTTTCAGCAAGCGGATTACGGAATGTACAAGTGCGTGGCGAAGAACCCGAGAGGCGAGACCGAGGGAACGATTCGGCTCTACAGTGAGTACATTTTTACAATTGTCTTTCGATGCATTTTGTGACAAAAGGGGATGAATCTCTTACTTTTTTTGGGGGGGGGAGTGGAGGTTTTTTTGAATTCATCGAGATGAAGTAAAAAGGTGACTCGAAAACAGGACTGTGAGATGTGCTTACACACACGTATGGGTGCGTATACAAAAATGATCGTCCCTCGATTTCCAAAGTCTTCCAACGTATATATGACGATCAAAAGTGGTGTACCGCGACTCATGTCGTTGAAAACGTTTTCCCAATGACCCACTATTAATTAGTACAGGCTTAACGAAAGAAGAAAAAGGATAGCAGACCACACGGGTACGTCTAACACGACGACCCGGCCAGAAGAGTAAAAGGATCCCAAGGTATATATGTATACACTGTGAGTCACAAACAACGCACACACGGACACTTGGTCGAGCAAACGTGTGACGGGCACGTGGGTGTGGAGATGAAAGCTTCGGTCTTTGCTTTTCCCGTCCCGGCCGTCCATTAGCACGCATCGGTTTTTCGCATTAGCTTCATTCAAATGAACCGGTCGTTTAGCATAAAAGGGCCTGCGCCATTGGACGAAGAAAAAAAAAAAAAAAAAAAGGAAAAAGGTCCGTCCATGTCTGTCGAGTAGGGGAAAAACGCTCTTCCGCGTCCCTCACGTTTGACACGAGGAAATGGCCAGCAGCCATCCGATCCGATCTTTGTGCGCTCTCTCTCTCTCCTTCTCTCTCTCGTTGACGCGTGCGAATTTTCAAAGAGCGATTTTACGTACTGGGTGTACCTTAAACATTCGAGAAAGGATTTTTTTTTCCTTTTCATACACACATCAAGTGCTGCGCGTTTTTTATAAGAGAATTTTCAAAGTAGTCGTGCCTTTTTTCAACAATTTTACGGGGTTCACGATCGAGTGGCTACCTCCGCGTTTGATTTGGTTTTCACTACGGACGTTCAATTAAATGATCAAAAGCCTATCCCGACCGCGATTGGAAAAACAAAAGTTGGAAGAACCAAGTCGATTCCTATATAATCACTGACGAAGGATTATTTCGTTGGATCCCGAAGCGAGTGATGCAAAATCGTCCCGCTCCCAATCGACATGGAAATTTCTACCCCCACCCTGAGTCAGCCCTAACACTCGCAAGCGAAACAATTAATGCGCGCGTTGCTTGCGCATCCAAGGGAATTCCAATGAACCGTGTACAATCACTCCTCTTCGCTTTGCAAATAAGATACAGGAGACCACGAGCGCAATAAGACGTGGAAAAAGCCTTTTTTATTCACCTCACCCCCACCAAGAGAGGGTGTACCCTCTCTCTCTCTCAAGGTAAAAAGGAGGTTCCATGCAGAGACTAAAGTACGTGGCCCATCAGACAGCGAAAAAGGGTCGCCGGGGTGGGGGTGACTTTTTCTCCTGGAATTAAGTGGTAGCAGTCAGAGATATGTCAGGCGAGTTTTATTAAGCGGCACAAAAAAGAGATTTGTCGTTGCCGGCCGTCCCGCGGACGGAGGTGGGGGAGAGTAGATTCAAGACCCCCGAAAAAAAAGAAAGAAATAGAGGTAGAAGCACCACTCGGCATCCGAAACGCGTTTTGTGTACGGGACACGAGGGGGTGGGGGAAAAGGAGTGAGAGAGACAGGGGGTTGGAAACGAAACTGGCGTGCTCGCGGAGATATGAATTTATGATTAAGGAAAGCGCTTGAGGCCCTTTCCCCCTTCCCTTTTATTTCTCGATATTACGTCCCACCACAAACAACGCCCTTGTCCCTTTGTCTCCTCTCTTTCCGTCTCGTTGGCAGTCCATCTCGCTCGCCGCTTAAATCTCGCCTAATTTATGCCATCCTGGTTTTCCGAGCGCGACGCAAAACGCTCACCTCCCCCCGCCTCCCGTGCCTTTGGTAACGAGCACCATCGCCCAGCAACGACAATATCCCATTCAATCCGCCGTTTGTGCTTCGAGATGTCGTCTCTCTTGCGGGTAACACAACGCAACCGAGCATCCTCGTTAATTAAACTTTGTTGTGTGTATATGGCTGCAACTGATCACGATTTTACACGTTAAACGTTAATCGTGGGTTGATCGATAGTAGAAATATACTTTTATCGTTGGAATTTTTTTTTTTTTTTAATTAAGCACGTTAAACCACTTCTCCTATAGCTATAGACGTGACCGGGAAAATTGAAAATTTCTTTGAGCTTGTAATGAACAGTCACTTTTTACAAAAAACAAGTTACGACGAATTTTTTATTTAGTAATTTGTTCTGGAATATATCAGGTAACAGATTTAGCTGTTTCCGGACGACACACACAAAAATTGTACTTCATCGAGATCTGAAAATTTTTCTCTGACCTCGGTAGTAAAAAGCCTAGGAATGTTCTTCCCTTCAATAATGAAAATCACAAGTTATGTAACAAAGACAAAGGTATAAATTAAAATTGATCCTGTAGAGCAGTTGTGTTACAAAAGTGAGACAAAGTCAGACTTATCCCGACACACAGTGAGATGAATTCGCAGAACTATCTATTGACAGAGCAACTAAACGACAAACAGGGGGTTATAATTAATAAAAAAAAAAAAAAAAAAAAAAAAACAAGAAAAAAGGATACCACGGCCCAGATAAAATGGTATCATGTGATACATATTGATTAAAAGTTGGTGTATACTTTGTTGGATAAATACTTGATACAATAATGTATAAAATATATTCTTTAAAGCTCTTCTGGGACAAAAGTGCCCTCTTGCATTGAAAATAACTGTCTCACCAGACATCAAAAGAGCCTCCTCTCATCCGAGCCTCGACAACAAACTTCATTACCGCAAAACTCTCCGGACCAAATCCGATCCATTATTAAGGTGGCCCCAGTGGCCTCAATGTTAAAATTATAAATAACCCAACCGAGGTTAATAAAATTGAATTATATTCTTTGAATTCCCATCTTTCTATTCGTATAAAAAAAAATTAAGGTAGACGATGAAAATTGTAAGAAATCATGCTTACAAAATCGTAGTTTTAAGACGGGTTAAATAGGAAATGCAAGCTTACGCGATATACAACCTACTGCTGCACTTATATAAATAACCCGTAAGGTGTAAAAAATATACTATCTTGTATATATTATTACGCAGTTTTCGATGACATGAGAAAAGTGTCTTGTTATCGAACAAAATCTTTAAATAATCGGAGACTAAGTATACAGTTGCGAGTGCAAGTCAGCTCTCAGCTGTCTGCATTCTGCAGAGTACATATATATAGGTATAACTACTCTTGAAGTTAGGAGCGTACCGTAACAGTTCATCAATTAGGGCACCATAAAACTTTTTTGTTTTTTTATATTAACTCACTAAAGTAACAGATAAAATGTAGAATATGGCTTATAACAGTCTCTACGATAATTTTATACCATATTTTAAAGAAAATAATGATTAATTTTTAGTCTCCCCATTTTGATACGGCACTAGGCGCTGGAGCCACCTTAATCACTCGCGAACTCGGTGCTTCCTTGCCTCAGAAACTCCCCTTCCGTCACACCACAAAAGGACGTAGCATATATACCTTTTATTTATGCACACTTTTCTGAAAGTCCAGAGGAACCGTTACAATGAACTCCGATACACGCAGTCGATACCTATACAGGCCCAGACGTCCCCCTAAATTTCAAGTTACTCCAACGCAGAGATGGTGTAGAAAAAAAAGGATGTACGAAGCCACGATGCGGTCGAATCGCCGCAGGGAATAACGATAGGGGGGGGGGCAGAGGGGAAGAGCCGAGGGTGAAAGTCTAATTACCGTCCAACTCCCCCAACAAAGGCCCTCCTCACCGCGGCTCGCGATCGCCTTGGCGAGAAACGCTAATTGAAAGGGAACGGATGACCACCCCTCCCCCCGCGGAATTCATTCGTGAAAAATGAATTCATTTCCGTCGCTCTCTCGAATTTTTCCCTACTCTAGCCACCCAAGACGGAGTTTTCTTTCGAGAAACAAGGACGGGAAAGGCCGCACTCCCCCCCCCGCTGTGTAAAACACAGTTGGGTGGAACCTCGGCGTTTTTCGAGGGGCTCGTTATAAGCAGGAATCTTGTTAAAAAGTGCGGGGTTTTCCTCCTCCTCCTTGCAAGCGTATTACACTCTCGGTCAAGGAGGCGTCGTTAAGGGGTAATTCGATGACCATTAAGAACGAGGGCGATGTATGCTGTTCCGGATCAAACGAGCATATAGTTACAAGTGAAATATGTCAAAGTTTTTTTTCGTCTTGTATATGTAGTAAAATATGAAAAATGCATTCGAACGACAAGCGTTGTCATGTTTAAAAAAGTTGTTTTGTTTTCAAAAAAAAAAGTGTGCGTCCTCCTCAGTTCAGAAAAAATACCAAAACTGCAGTTTTTATATAAATATGTTAAGATCAAATCAGTTGTTTTAATAAAATAAAGTTTTCGTTATCAAAAAGAAACATCTTTTACCTTCATCTCTCGTCTTTTGGTGCGCGGTAGTTTTGTTAACTACAAATATGCTAATTACTTTCCGACACGAGTACGTACACGCATCCGCGGGGGTGGTATGATACAAGAGCTTGGCTTATCGATCAGGGTTTTCGCGCGTGATTGATGATGATGGCGCGGATTCGGTATTGGGTGATTTTGTTTTGATGCTTCATGGGAAGATATTGTTTTGTATAATCCGAGCGTTTGTTTTGATCGAGAACCGGGAAGATTTTACAATTTTAGATGGGCTCTGGCGCGCATTAAAATATTCAGGCAATTAATCGTCGTCGTGCACCGTTATAATTTTTAATTACATTTTTGTGGAGCAATGAGCCAGAGGGTTTGATTGATGGAAGCACTGAGCATTGGACACTTGAAAGGTTTTTTTTTTTTTTTTTTTTTTTTCAAAGCAATTTCGTTTAATCGTGTAATTTTTTATGAGGCAAAGTTTGGTGAATTTTCATGATGAGAGAGACTGACAAGTATATCTTTACCAGGCATTTATTGAAGAGT